CAACATATGAATGGATAAAGAAGATGTGGTCCATATATACAATGGAATATTACTCAGCCATCAGAAAGGATGAATACCCAACCTTTACAACAACATGGATGGGACTGGAGGAGATTATGCTAAGTGAAATAAGTCAAGCAGAGAAAGTCAATTATCATATGGTTTCACTCATTTGTGGAACATAAGGAATAGCCTGGAGGACGTTAGGAGAAGGAAGGGATAAATGAAGGGAGGGAAATCAGAGGGAGAGATGACCATGAGAAACTATGGACTCTGAGAAACAAACAGGGTTTTAGAGGGGAGGGGTGTGGGGGGATGGGTTAGCCCAGTGATGAGTATTAAGGAAGGCACGTATTGCATGGAGCACTGGGTGTTATGCACAAACAATGAATCGTGGAACACTGCATCAAAAACTAATGATGTATTGTATGGTGACTAACATAATAAAATTTTTTAAAAAATGGGATTTCTCACACCTCAACTATGAGCCAAATTCACAGAATTACCTGGGACACTTACTTACAATTCATATGCCTAGGCCCTTCCTTGGCCGTGATTACGTTCAATGGGGTTCAGAAATATATATTTTTTAACAATTTCCCTCAAGTGAAGTCATTTTGATGAGTACTAAAGTTTGAGACCCCCTTCCATAAGAAATATCCTAAAGGGGTGGCAGAATTTGAGGTACACTTTAAGTATCCTAAATTCCAGGGCAAAGATTGCTGAGAATCCTAATGCCTAATGATCTAAAACAGTTTGTAAACATCACTCACAATGGCTAACACTATATGCAACTGATGAATCACTAAATTCTACCCCTGAAACTAATAATGCAGTATATGTTAACTAAATTGAATTTAAATAAAGAATTTTTTTAAAAATTTAATCTGCTTAATTCAAAGTGATAAAAATCATGAAGGTAACTGTTTTTTTAAAAAAAGACATAAATTAGCCAATTATTCTGCCTCTTGGATACAAGGTATCATTGCACTTTAGCTCCTTTTCTAAATCTAATGAGCTTCTGTGAGCTAGAATGGCCTGATGACTGGCTTCACTGTAAATCAGTGCCTTTCTCATCTTTATGCATTTGAAAATTACTTCCTTTTCTTGGAGGCAATGCAAAGAACAGAGGAAAGAGAGGAAACAGGTGTAGGCATACCTCCCCAAGAAAGTGAGGGTCAGAAGAGACATGATTTCACATATAATTTCTCATTCTATTCAACATGAAAAGTGGTGGAAGGACAATAAGAGAAAAAAATGAAGGACAAATAGAGAAGAATTATACACTGCCTTAACTTAGACTACCTTAACAAAATACCATAGACTGAGCTGCTTATACAAGACATTTATTGCTCACAGTTCTGGAGGCTGTGAGGTCCAAGATCAAGTTACCAGTAGATTCCATTCCTGGTGAGGGCCCTCTCCCTCCCTCTGTCCTCATATGGTAGACAGAGAGAGCTCTGGTGTCTCTTCCTTTTCTTATAAGGGCATAAATCTTATCATGGGAGCCACATCCTCATGACCTCATCTAAACCTAATTATCACCCAAAGGCCCCACCTCATAATACCATCACATTGGGGTTTGGGGTTTCAATATATGAATTTGGTGGAGAATACTGACATTTAGGGGATAATAGATACTAAATCTCTTCATTTATAAACATAAGAAATTGTCTTGAATTGAACCCCTTAGTCAAGGTTCTCAAACTCAGTGTGCTCTAGAATCACCTGGGGAGATTTATGGACCCAGATGCTCTGGCCAATTAAATTAGAATCTCCTCTTGTTATGAAGCCCAGGTATTGGAGTTTTCTAAAGGTCTCTGGTGGTTCCAGGGTACAGCCAAGGCTGGTAATCATAGCTCTACAGGCTATAATTGCAGGAACAATATAAAAACCAACTCACTTGTGTTTAATAAAATGGAATTCTGCCTTGGAGCAAAAGAAGGTAGTTACTTTCAGAAATCCAAGCTGAGTGTTTCTTTAAAATCTCACAGCTTGAAACAACTCCCATAGATTTTACCATAGGATTTTGTAAACAACTGATCTAATTTAGTAAATGTGCCTGTGAATATAAAAGTCCTCTACCATGTAATACTCTTCTTCAAATGAGTCTGTCAATGATACACCATCACAGGATGTAAATTCTTCTAGTTCCTTAAGACAAAATATTTGCTCAAGGAAATGCCAATTATGATCTATAGAAAGGGAACCTAATTATTATTGATTGTGAAATGGCAGGAAATGAAAATATTTGATTTTTATTTTTCAGTGCATTGAATGGAAAACTCAGATCACTAACATACTGAAGCTGATTATGAAATTACCAGAGCAAACACATGGACAGGCACAATGAAAGATCTAGGGCCAGCTGCTAAATTGAATGTGGTTTTAAAGGCTATGGTAACAAGCTGGAAATGTCCTTTCTTGGCTTCTTCACAATTTTAGCCTCATTTTTATTTAGAAATTTCTTGCAGTCAAGGAAGAAAAGAAAGTGTAAGACCTTCTTGCTCATCAGACCCACAGATGTTTCAAGGTCTTGATGTCTGAGATTAAGTCATCACAGCCTCAGAGTAGGCTATAGTTAGTGGGGCCAGATCATTTTTAAAAGCTTCTTTATTGGGATATCAGACTGGATTTGGAAATCATGAGACAGATTCTAGCCTGTGACCATTCCACAAACTACTGGCAGAGTGACTACCTTGTGGGGCATTTTGACAACTTTGGGTCAATCAACCTCATCCTGTGGTCATCACCACAGTGGGAGATCCTCCTTCAACAAGTCCTAAGTAGATGGAAAGAAGCAGTAATTGAGCTTCTAAAGAGGTCTGAGGCTGAGAGCCTCCTGGGTAGGGCTTAGCAAATACTGACATCTGCTCCAGAGTTTTGATTATCTCTTAGAGCAATGACTCAGGGATAAAAGTTGGGAACAAAATGGTAGACCAGTGAGCCAGAGTTTATAGAAAGAAAAAAAGGAGCTGAGGCTAATTTTATATTTCTGTGTACTTTATGTTAACTGCATCTTTATAAGACATGTTAAGGGAGAGGAGACACCCTCAAGGGATGGGTCTGGCCTAAGGCCATTGGTGACACTTGAAGGAAATCTTGAAGAGAAGTCACCAACCTATGAACCTCTCACAATGAGACTTCAGAAACTTGATGTTCAAGCCTTCTCCACTGGTAACACCTACTTTCTAGACTTCCAGTAAGAGCTGGAAAAGTTTGATTTGTCGAATCATGCAAAGACATCCTAGCCTTTCTCTCTTTTTCTCTGATGCTTCATGTTTTTACCGTTAGTATGACAGAAAACATGCCTCGGACCATTCATACATGCCAAGATATAAGTAACAGCTCACAAAGTTATTTTTATTCATCTCCACAAATTACTAATAGCTGCTAGGAATGTTCCCCTATCTGAGGGTATTTGCCTTTTAAGCAAAGTCTTAACCTAAAAGATTAAGCTCTCTAAAATTTCAGGAATCTGACAGGAAGCTAGGCAGAAGTTGCAAAGGGGTCCCAAACAACTAGTAGTCTATGAAATGTTATCACTGAGACCAAGGGAGCTGAATGGAGCTAACCTTCCATTGCTGTTCAAGTGAACAGTGAAGAGAGGTCTGAGCTATCCTACCGCACAACATACACAACACTGTCAGTCACAATTCAATAAGACAGATGCCACGTGATCAGCTTTTACTGTGCTTCTTGCCCACTACCATTTCACTAATCTAGGCTCTGTTCAGCCTCAGCCTACAACCACTTTTGTGGAGCATCCTATCAATAGAAAATTATTGACTAAACAGCCTCAAGATACACATGTTTAAATTACATATATGTAAATATATTACATAACACTTAAGAAAGAATACTTAGATGAGGTTCATCCTCAATGATTCTGAATGCCATCCCATATTTCAAATAGTTTTCATGGTCATTTTGAATGTATTTGACTCACATTTGGTCATTTGTTCCTTCTCTCATTCAGCAAATATTTACTGAACACCTATCAGGTACAGGTACAAGATAGTAAGATATGGCTTAGGTATTGTCCTTCCCTGGGGGATTATTATCTATAACCTAGTTGCTATTGACCTCCTATCTGTCTCTTTGTTTACATCATCCTAAAGATCATGCACATGTATTCATCTCTCAAGACCTCAATTTTTCATTGTTAATGTCTGCTTCACAGAGTTGTTGATAGAGTTGAATGAGATTACATGCGGAAATGTACTTCGTACAGGTTTTGGCCCTTAATAATTGTCACTTTTCTTTAAAAGTATCTGCCTAAGGAGTTTGAGAGGCCTTCACCCTGGCTTCAGCCCACAGTGTCATGAAGGGAATGATCTACAATGATTTCTTATCTTTCAACACTTCAGCTCACAATTCACCTGCAGCAAAAAACATTGTCTCTAAGTCGTGGCCAGTTGAAGTTGGTACCAATAACTGGGTGGCAAATCTAGGGTGTTTCTTTAATCTTTACTTTGCCTTTTGCAATGGAAAGCCAATGTCTCTTGAAATGTGATGATGGGGGAGGGGATTTTTCAAGATGGAGTGAAGAGCCTGTAAGTGACCATACCCAAAAATTTAGCACTTGATTTATTTAGCCTAAATGTATGCACCCAATCAGAGATTATTTGAGACAGGTAGAAGGTGCTGGGAGCTATTCTGTACAGTCCTGCCAGCGAGAGTCCAACCCAGAGAAACGCAAACCTGAGGAAACTCTGGAAATATCTAAAAGACAGACTCTTGAAAGAAGAATTCCATTTAGTCTCCAGCAGTCAATGGATGACAACTGCTCTGAAGAAGAAAATTCCAGTTCACTTGAAAGAACTCTCCAACAATCTGAATTGTCTAAAAAGAAAATAGACTGTCCTGGAAAATAGTCCTCTGTCACTAGAGATTAAAAATATAGCCTAGAGAGCTGTTGGCTTTGGAAGAATGATTGAATGTGATAAATTTGAGGCTCATCCATGATATGGGAATCCTAACTCTGTGCTTTATTTTAGTTTTTAGATGTCATGCGGCTGGTTCAGCAGAAGTCCTGGAAAGTGGGAGATATCTTTCATGCAGTTGTTCAGTACTGCAAAATGCATGAGGAACAGAAGGATGGGACCCCAAGTCTCTTTGACTGGCTCTTGGAACTGGGATAAGACAGCTTTGCCTTTAGAGTATTCCTTTCCTTTATCCCAGCTTAGATTACAGTGGTTTGCTCTAAATGCTCTAAACTTTCTCAAAACATCCCATCACATTAGCAGAGCTATAAAAAATCTGCTATCCAACTCTACTGCACATGGAATAAGTCTGAGGAAAAGCAATAGGTCTGTACAAATCAATACAACCTATGAGCAAGTTCAAAAGAGCTTGTATTAGAATGGCTGGAAAAACAAAAATTTAGTGGGCCCTAAACTAAAAGCTTAAAACTAGGCCCAAAAATCCAGGAAAGGTGTTCTTAAATATTTTTAATTATATAAACTTATGTGTAATGTCTCCAATTATGTGAATCAACTAGAAGCAAAGTAATCAAAATAATTTTGTAAACTATGATATAACCTTTATTTTACTCTTTCAAGCTGATTCAGGGGCTGTCAGCCCGGGTCAACACTTAAGATATGGATGAGAAATTTCCAGAATTTTGATACAAAGGATTTTCACTATCAGACCAATATCAGTGGATATTAACAGAAGTGCACGAGTATTACTGATGTCCTCTACTGAGGTGATTTCATTTATTTACTTCAACTCATTGATAATACTCTGCACCTCCCCAACAATATCTGTGTTCCCACCTAACCAGAATACTATTGGTTTTTAGTTGAGAGAGAGAAAGACTGAAGGTTGTCTCATGTCCATCTCTGTATTACTTGGGTAACATGCTCACAGAATTCTTACCATAAGAAAAAGCTTTCTTACAAAAAAAAAAAGTCTTTTGAGATAAAATCTGCTTGTGTATTAAATTATATGATATAAACTTTCATTTTATTTTTCTTGTAAATTATGAAGAGATTATTATCTTAAGTAATATATTGAGTTATCTTAGAGGTTCATAAAACATGAGGGGATTGTTGTCTTAAGTGTCATATCTTGACACGTGAGCTCAGTGCTTTTATTATAAATGTGTTGGTTCTGGTATGGCAGACCTGTTACCTGGGTGACATTTATAATGACGGACGCAGGATTTGACATAACCTGCTAGGATCATACACTCTTTCTGATTCAAAGATATTGGCATTTAATTTGGGAAGAAGAAAACCTTATCACATTTAATTTATTTTAATAACAGAGATTGACTGTTCTGAAAAATAAAAAGTATCTAACGTCTCCTCTCCCTTCAACTAAATGAGGTACACTGGCTTTTATTTTCTTGACCAAAGAAGGTGTTTATTGAAGATTTCCTGAAATACCATGCTTTTATTCTATTTTTAAAAATTGTGAAGTAATTTTAAGTGTGAACAAGGCCCCATGCCATCAATGAGGGCCTTATGCATCATCGCCATCTTGAAATGTCAAGAAATCTTCCTTGTAAGACTTACTTCCCTCTTCAACACACACGGAGGAATCCTCCCCAGTACTCATTAGACATTTATTATATTAATAGTCCAAATTTAGGGTATGTGTTTAATTTGTCACATTAACAAGATGTCAAATTTTAAAATGTATCTATTATCTCAAGCCAAAAGTTCTTTGTGCTACTAAATGGAAAAGGATATATTTATTTTTTAAACAATCCCAGAATATTGTGTGTGGACATTTGTTGTGCTCAAATGAATGTTTACTTATCCTACAAAGCACAAATACTGGATTGTAACCATGTGATAAAGTTATATGTTGTACCTAATGTTACAAACTAATCAATAAATCTTTGTTGCCGAATTGTTCATCCTTTTTTCTCCAAAAGTCCTAAGTGCCTCCTATAACACAAGAGCCACAGTATGATTGGATGAAGGTAGATTATCCCTTAGACAAGTTTTACTGTTACACTTTCAACTTTCAAATAAGCCCGTGTTCTTTGACTAAATTAGTTAGCACCAGTGATATTCATGTAAATTGGCATTTCTCAACCTTGGCACTATTGACATTTGGGGCTAAATAATTCTCCGTTACTGTGCCTTCTAGAATGTTTAGCAGCCCCCAGCCCTTATCCACTAGATGCCAGTAACCACTTCCTCCCATTGTGACAACAAAAATATCTCCCAACATTGCCAAACGTTCCCTGGGTGACAAAAATCACCACCAGTTAGGGGTTGCTGGTATAAACAATGCACTGAAGGGGCAGAGCCTGAGGCTCTAGAAGGTGTTAGGGTAAAGGAAGGGGAGCCTGTAGTCTCTAGTCTAGGGAATCCCAGTAGGAACCTGACAACCAAGCATTCCCTCTCACCTTCCCAAGGCCCATGGGCTGTGGCCTTTACAGCAAGTCTGGGGGATGGGAGAAAGAAGCACAAGGCAAACAAGGCTTGGGGATAAACTGACCTAGACTCCAGTAAACTAGAGGTAAACTTATCAGGCTTAGAGGTAAATGGATTGGTGCTCTCTGAATTCAGGAAATAAATTATTAGAATTTGTACAAATAAAACACTGAGACTTCTGAGCACTTTATATTATTCACTAAGAAGAAGGCATAAATAATGCTATGTAAAGGCTTGTCCAGTCAGCCACAGGGTAATGTCAAATAAAAATGAACTCTGGACATTGGCAAGGAGAGACTTTATTTGAAAGGATTATAATGAGAAGGAGAAAGGGGTTGTTGCAATGGGGCACCGAGGTTGTGGTAGCAGTGAGAGTGGTCCCCCTGGGAGACCTGCCAGTGATCGACTGAGAGGGAGGGATGGAGGGAAGGGCAGAGAGAGAGAGTCTTAAGCAGACTCTGTGCTGAGTGCAGAGTTTACACAGAGCTCGATCTCACAACCCTGAGATCATGGCCCTGAAATCATGACCTGAGCCGAAACCAATAGCTGGTCCCTTAACCGACTGAGCCACCCATGCACCCCCTCAGGAGGGGCTTCTTAACGAGGGCTGTAGGTTGGATCAGGTTGAAGATGGGTCAACGTTCAGGGGCCTGGAGAAAGGACAGAAGCTCCTGAATTTTGGTGAAATGAATTTGGTGAACAAGCACCTTGCTCCAGTTGATCGGTGGTATGAGTCATTCATGTTAATCATTTATAAGGTGAAGAATGGGAATTGGGGGGGGGTCCCTGTCTGAGGCAAATAAGAGGGCATCCTGGAGTCCAAGGCTCAGAGCTTAGCCCTTAGGAATCTAGATGCCAGTAACCACTTCCTCCCAAAGCATGATCTGAAAACCAAAGGCATGATCTGAAAACAAGCCTCTTTTCGGGATCTGCAGGGTTTGAGCAAACCAGGCCTCCTGACACCCTTTCCACCACCTGTTTCTACGTGGTAAGTGGAATACCTGCATCTCTGGGCATCGATGATTGTGATGACTGTAAGCTCCTTGAGGGTGGAGCCACCTTTGGGTCTGTGGTTTCCGCCCTAGTCCTTGCACAAAGCCTTGCCCACTGGGAAATCTAGTAGGCTGTGGGTAACTTTTGTTTCCAATTGATGATGTTCAAGCACTAATTCCTGAAACACAATTCTACCAAAATGTTCTTCTTAGCTTACCAGAATCTGCTACCTGGTATATTAAGCTTCTTGAGATTTTTTTATGAAATTACTTTTGGACATAAGCAAGTGAAACTTTCTATGAAAAACTGCCTTTTATTTTTAGTTGCATAAGAATTTTGATCAGAGAACTGAGAATGTTTTCATGGTATTGGGATGCATTTAAATCATATTCAGGACATTATCAGCAGGACTTTGAGGCCGATTGAGTATAGACACGTTTGAATGCAGTGGACAGGGAAAAAACATCTGAGCTGCCCTTCTATCAGCAAAAATTGTGCTTGAGAAAAGCCAACAAAATGCAATCGACCACCTAAATTTTCCATTTCCTGTAACAGTTCCCTTAAAATGCTCTCCCCCCGCTCCGCCCCGTTAAAGCCCCGTATCCAGTTTCTCCTGCTTCTTTTCAGTTTTCACATCCCCTTCCTATTTCCTCCCTGTCTGTCCTTCAGAGATGGCCTTTTGTTAAATTCTTATCAACCAGTTATTTATTTGCCTTTGAAAGATTCTCACTGCTTTGTTGAACTCTGTCCCATTTACTGCTTCAATCTCTGCTGCGCCTGTTTCCGGCCCGGAACGTGGCAGGGACTCCAGATGCTACCACGATGCTCAAAGTGCCACAGATCCCAGATGCAAAGATTGTTTCCTGGCAGATTGTGTGGTCCCTGGGCTGAACACCTGGCCCAAGTCTTTTTTTTTGTATTATTGAACTATAGTTGACATACAAGGTGATTCGACAGCTCTGTCCATTACTCAATGCCCCCCACAATGAGTACAGCTACCATCAGTCACTCTACAGTGTTATTACAATATTTCTGACTATTCCCTATGCTGTAGTTCTCATCCCCGTGACTTACTTAGTTTAGAACTAGAAGTCTGTACCTCTTAATTCCCTTCACCTATCCCACCCATTCCTCCCTCTGGCGACCACCAGCCCGTTTTCTGTATTTATGAACCTGTTTCTGCTTGTTTGGTTTTTGTTGTTGCGGTTTAGGTTCCACATATAAGCAAAATCATATGGTATTTGTCTTTCTCAGGCTATCTCATTTCACTTAGCATGGTTCCCTGTTGGTCCATCCATGCTGCCACAAATGGAAAAATCGCATTCTTTTTAATGGCTGAGTAATATTCCATCATATATACACCACAGTCTCTTTGCCCATTCATCTATCAATGGACACCGAGATTGTTTCCATATCTTGGCTATTATGAATAATGCTCCTGTAACAAACGCAGAGGTGCATAGATCTTTTAGAATTAGTGATTTCATTTTCTTTGTGTAAATGCCCAAGAGTGGAATTACTGGATCATATGGTATTTCTGTTGTTAATTTTTTGAGGGCTGTCCAGACTGTTTTCTACAGCGACTGCACCAATTTACATTCCTACCAACAGTGCACGAGGGTTCCCTTTTCTCCACATCCTTGTCAACACTGGTTATTTCGTGTTTGTTTGTTTGTTTCTACTAGTCTGTCCCAAATCTTTATAAACACAAAATACATCCCTCTTTTGCTGTATCACAAACAACAACAGGGGACACAGATAAGGTAGGAGAGTTTTGCTTCTTCTGGGGAAAACAGAATGAATCGCCATTTGTCAAAGTTGAATGAAGGTGGATAAAACCAAGACATCCTCCAGTTTTAAATGTACTGGATTCTTCACAGCCATGTGTGCCATGTGTGAAGGGTCCTCTGGCCTACTCTTTCAAGCAACAGGCCAATTATTTTAAGTATAGCAATATAATTTTTAGTGATAAAGGCAGTAGGCCACATGCCAGCCTTTTGCCAAAGCCTTAGAAATGTCTAGTAAAGCCTTCCTCAATTAGATCAGTATCTCCTTCTTCCTTCACTCAACATCTGGATCTTCTTTTAAAATGTAAGTGAAGGATCTATAGACAAAGCAGTCATTTCCAGTCCCAGTTGTGTGTGCCCTCCAGCACCTAAGTTTTTTTTCTGAAACATTTTGGTGGGTTTTTTTTTTCATGTAACAGATAAAAGTATACAGACAATATGATATATAAAATCACTTCCAACTACAACTTTCTACACATTGCTATTTGGCAGAGAGAACCGAAAAGGCGGTATTCCCAGGAGGAACAAATCGGTTGTTCTATGGAATTCCATGTCTCAGGGAAATAAAGATTTGAACAGGCCTCTTATTAAACATCAAGCAGCAGGCTGTTTCTTGGTTTCCTTAATGCTTGGAGCAAGATACAGAGAAATCAGATTTTGAGCAATTTTGGATAAAGAGGTGAAGGAACGTTTGAGAGTATTCAGAGAGACAAAGAAAAATGAAGTTACGATTCTGAACACTTTTGTGGTATAAGCTCTTTTGAAAATCTAAGGAAAACTGCACGTATGTAAAATTCAGGGATTACCTGTACAGTTTCAGGAGGATTATTCAAGCCATTTTCAGAATTTTGCTCCAGACTCTACATCTCTAGAACCATACAACTCATTCTCTATCACCTTCCAGATCCTCTCTCGTACCTGCTCTATCTTAGTACCAAAAAGATCCTCAATACATATTTGTTTAAAGAAACCCCCCTTCTAGGATTTCATGGATTTGTGAGGAAATCGTATCAAAAGGGTCAGATTCTAACTAAAACGAATACTCTTTTAAAGGCATTTTTTTGTGTGTGTAGATTATGTCCTAGTCAAGGAAGGAAGGAAGGAAGGAGAAAGAAAGAAAGGAAGGAAGAAAGAAAGAGAGAGAGAGAGAGAGATGGAGGGAGGGAGGGAGAAAGGAAGGAAGGAAGGAGGGAAGGAAGGAAGGAAGGAAGGAAGGAAGGAAGGAAGGAAGGAAGGAAGGAAGGAAGGGGAGAGGAAGAAAGAAAGAAAAGGAGAAAGAAAGAAAGAAAGAAAGAGAAAAGAAAGAGAGAGAAATGGAGGGAGGGAAGGAGGGAGAAAGGAAGGAAGGGGAGAGGAAGAAAGAAAGAAGAAAGAAGAAAGAAAGAAAGAAAGAAAGAAAGAAAGAAAGAAAGAAAGAAAGAAAGAAAGAAAGGTAGAAGAGAGAGAGGAAGGAAGAAAGGGAGGGAGGGAAGGAGGAAGGGCAAATGAACAAAGGGAAGGAGAGAGAAGGAAAGGAAGGAAGGGAAGAGGGAAAGAAACCTCTGTAACTCTTAAAGGAATATACAATACTTTTAAAGCAAGAAAATTCTAACTCCAGCAGAAATACGGAGTTGAGTTTATTTAACATATGTCATGTCTAATACATGACAAGATAAATGTCCACATTGGCTGCTTTATGCTTCAGTCG